TATTTACTACTACTATAAACACCTAAAAACCCTCCAACTGTGTTGATGATATTCTCATCTTTGTTAAAAACATAGATGAAATACATGAACTACAAAAAAACTTCTAAAAACTGTTTTTAAGTACACATATGAACTTAACAATAACAACAGAATTCCTTTTCTTGATATATTGATAGACATCAATAATAATACATTTACTACCTTCCCATATCAACAACTAGTGTAAACACATACACTCTCAACTATAAAAGTGAATGTCCTAAATATTACAAAACAGCAATTATATAAAATTTTATAAATTGTGCAAAAGTTAAGTATTCTATGAAAAATAATTTCTACATGAAATTAAAAAAAACATTAAACAAAGTCTCATTAATAATGACTTTCCTAATTGCAATGCTGATGAACAAATTAGACAAGCTATTAGAAATATTAATATAAATCAAAAAGAATATATTACTTTCTTAAATAACCCTAAACATATCAACATATTATACTGCAATCAAATACACTCTAACTACAAACAAGATGAAAAAATCCTAAAACAAAACTCTTAAGTACTAATATATCCCCGACAAATCCCAGTAAAAAAAGAAAACTAATTATATACTATACTAAATTTAATGCAACCAATTTAATTAATCATCCATAATAACTCTTCTCTCAGCTAATGTTTTGCAATAGACAAACACTATATATCAATTTAGATGTCCTATCTCTGAAAAATGTAAATATATATGTTGGTTACATGGATGTCAACATTATCAAAAAAGCTTACATTACACATATTGGATTCAAGTTCTGTTGCACAACATTTAAAAGAACATTCCTGTTCACATTCATGTTTTAGAGAAATATTGACAATACAAGTATTCTCCACCATGAAAATCAAAATCTTCAAATTCTTGAAATGCTCTCTATATGTTAATTACAAGAATACTATATAAGATTAATTATAAGTAGAGCAACAAAGTTTTAAAATGTATATAACAGCTAAGTTTTGAAATACCTAAATTTTAATTTTTTAAAAATTACTATTATAACAGCAATGTTTTAAAATACTTAAATAGTAATTTAAAAATTTTTTTTACAAATATAAATTAACACTAATTTTTGAATTAACAGAGCATATTTCATGCACATTTAAAAAAAAAATTGACAACTATCAATTACATTAATTTTTTTGTCTTAGCAATTCACCCCTGAATATGATCTTGAATGAGATTGAAAGTACTTAGGAAAATGAAAGAAATGAAAAAAAACTATGGTGCCTTCCTTAATGAATTTAATATCAACATTAACAAATTGATCCATGAATTTGAGAGGATTAAAATAAAAATAAATAGACGTAATGTGTCTATTCAGTGAAACACACATGTAACACCATATCCTCACCCCAATGGACCAACACACTCTACAAGACTGGCCGTTTGATTGTATTTCATGTTCTAAATTAACTTCCTGTAACATTTACATTTTAAGGTCTTTACAACATATTAACATCTTGGTTATTTGAAAATGCCTCTCTTTCACTTGGTGTTTTCTGTTTTACAGCATATCCTCCTTTATTATCATTATTATTATTAAAGGGGTGATATCGCTCCTGCCACACACACACACACACACACATATATATATATATATTTAATAGTGTAATATAAAAAGGAACATTTTAACTGGTTTTAAATATAAATGTTGTTACATTTTAAATGGAACTAGCCTGCTAAGGACAAACTTGATTCTATAGCCTTGGTTGGCAACTAGTCTAGGAGGAAACTGAATTCAAAACTGGTAAAGCATATGCAGCTAAGGAAAGGATCATTCACATTGACTCAATGATCCCAACTACAATTGACTCCTTTTTTTCAATAATAAAATAAAAAAGTCAAATTGTAATATTAGATGTTTCCTTAAAAGGAAACAGTTGTTCATTTTTCACTTCCCCTTGGCTTATGGTCATTTATTTTATTATCCTTGCTTTTTTGACTCCTAGTTTGAGGGTTTTTTTCACATACATTTTTAATATTGTATCAGATTTTTGCTCAATCCATTCTCCAGACTTCAAGGATGATGATTCAGAGCTTCTACAATTAGCTTCCATATAGATTATACTTCTGAAGAAGGCAGTAGAATGGATCAGCAAAATCTTTGTAGAGCAACAATGAAAATAATACCAATTAAACAATTGTTGGAATGGTAACATTTCTCAACATTTCAGTCCACTTGATGAAGGCCATACAATGGATGAGTCAAGTAGATTGGTAATAAAAAGAATATCAATGACTTGAACAACTTTTGAAATAATGATTCCTTGGCAAACTTACAGGGTGGGGGGGGATGTCTTTCTGTTGAAGATGGCCATAGACTGGCTAAGCCAATCATTGTGGAAGCAACAAAAAGAATAATCTGAACAATTCTTGGAATAATTAGGAGTCTTCTTAAAATTACAGAAGTCTGTAGAATAGATTGGCTAAAATGGGTGTATTGGTAATAAAAAGAACAATTCTTGGATTGATAATGAATTTTTCCAAATAACAGAGGAATGCCTTTCAGAATCTGAAGAAGGCTGTAGAATAAACTGGCTGGAATATTATGGTAGCAACAAGAATAAGAATTTTAATAGTCTGAAAAACTCCTGGAATGAAAATAATAATATAGCAAAAATTGTGAAGTATTTCAAGTGATTCATTGGTCATGCAGGGAAGACGTGAGTAAAAGTCAAGCTGTGGTCAGCCAATCTGTGGAAATGTTAAATAACAAAAGATTACAAAGAAGTTGTCAGCTGTTGCAACAATTAAAAAAATTAAATTGGTAATTTTAACATGATTCTTTTTACCACAATGTTTCACAGCATTAAGAAAGAAATGGTTACCACTTCAAAATAACAATATATTTATTCAAAAATTATAACAAATATATAAAATCACTACAAAAACAGCCAATATTAATATATAAATAATTATATTCCCCCCTACTCTGTATTGAGCACTCTTTTAAGAATAGTAATTGTTGGTTATTGGAATTTATTCCATATACACCAATCCTATATATATATATATATATATATAGAGAGAGAGAGAGATAGATAGATAGATAGATAGATATTTTGTAGAACTAAACAAGCCTGCAGAATGGAATAAAAATGCCTCTTCTCAAAATCAGAGACAATTACCATTCATACCATTTGAGAAGATTGTTTTTGGTTGGTTGATTTTGTTTAGTGGCATATCAACAGCTCTATGGGTTATTTAATGCTGAACTCTAAATATTTTGTATGCGATTTTTTTGAGATAATAATGGTTTAGTGATAAAAGTCTTACTAATTAACTCATAGCTGGAGGGAGAAGAGGTGGATTCATCCCTTTCCCAAGGATATTTGCACATAAGTGAATATAATGAACCCAACTGGAATTGATTTTATGATAAACAATTCTGAGCCATTATTCATTACACCATTTGTCCATCCAAGTTTAGAGCACCTGGTATTCCCAAGTGGTCACCTGATCTAGGTACTGACCATGCTCAACATTGCTTAACTTCAGTGATTTGGCCATAAACCGATGAGATTGTAGAATGGATTAAGTGAAATATTGCAGTAACAGCAGAAAACATGATTTTTAATTTTTTCAACAACTTTTGGAATGACAACTGCTGAAAGTTAAAAAGAAAAAAAATAGTTAGCTTTCATATAAATTATACATCTGTGGAAGGCTGTAGAATGGAATGGCTGAAACTGTAGTAACAGGAAAAGCAACAAAAAAAATCAATGAGGTGAATGGTACAAATAACCTTTGGAAATAATGTCAATTTAACAAAACTTAATTGTTATAACACGAAAGCAAACAACAAAAGAAAATATATATATATATAGTTTTTATTTATTTATATATATATATATATATATATATATATATATATATATATAAATATATAAAATCAATTAGATTTATTCATTCACATATTTTACATGTATATCCAAAGTTGACGCACACGAAAAAAAAACAAAAAACCATTCCATTTTTGTGAATTTTTCCTTGTTTTATAAAACATGAAACAGTTTGTCTGTCCAGAAACACAGTACATATGTGTAAACTTAGGAAAAAAAAGTCTCCCTAGTTTCACCAGATTGCTAAGGATTTATTATTTTGTTTATTTCACATTCCAACCAAGGCAAGGAGAGACTTTCTTTTATGTTTCTCTAGAATTTTCTTCATTATAGTCCTTTGTTTTCAATGTTTTTTTTTGTGTGTTTTTACAGAATTGTATTTTTTTAACAACTTTCATTTTCAAGTCTTCTCCATTTGCATCTGTAAATAAACATTACTACATGCATATTTGCATATATGAATATGCAAATTTGTGTGTATGTGTGAATGCATTTGTTTGTGTGAGACAAGCCCACCACAGATATTCCAGCATCACTTTTGATCCAGATAAAATCATGAACAGAATCTTAAATTTCTCTTTTTGAATTTAACTATTTTGTATTAAATATTTGACTCATGTTTCTAATGTTTTAACGATATGAGATTAGCATAATTAGTGGCTAAGAGGTGGCTTATCCAATTATCAGTATGCAACCTCCATTGGTCCTGAAAAATGGATAATTCAGCATGATTATGGAAACCAAGGCTGTTGGAAGATTGGTAGTGTATCTACAACACACAATTGCCAATTTGTCTGTGTTTGCCTGGAGTGTGTGTGTGTGTGTGGAGTTGCTGTGTACACATTAATTATAATCTTCTTTTAGACTTTCCTTACTGTCCGCTCTAAAATTGGCTGAACATGACAATCAAATTCTGAAGAGTTATTTTGTTGACTGTTTTTGTTTAGCCAGGCTAAAGGCAATTGTTCATACATCTCACTTGCCTTGGAAAATGGTCGAAGCCTCTCCCAGGCCGATAATACTCTCTCTGATTCCTCTTTGCCACTCAACAAAGTCACCAGGGTGTTAAAATGTTTCATATCTTCAGATCCACCCACAGTGTGCCGTCTTCTACCTCGAACTTTTCGTCGCGGTACTGTAGGAGGTGAGGTTGAACGGTGTTTCTCACTCGTACTCACTTTCCCGACAGTGGTTGACAGCAGAGGGCTAACGTCCGCCTTGGCCATAAGATCCCTACCCATTAAAACCGAAAACCCACTTTTGCTGCTATTGCCGTTATCACTGTTGACACCCCCTAAAGAGCCTCCTTTGTCAAAATAAGTTTTCAGTTTCTTTTTATGCAAATAATAGTCTTTTGGCATAGAAGGCGTGTCAGAGATTGGTGACAAGTATCGAACCCGTCCGTCTGGACTGATGCCGGCCCCGTTGTTACGCCGCTGGGCATACTCTGATGATGCAAGGTGGCTAGCTGCTATAGGAGCAGCACCATGAGTAATGATTGCTCTCTCTCCCGGAATGTGCGGAGTAGGATTTGGGTTGCTCCGCGTGAAACGGGAGGCAATGCCAATTTTAGTTTCTGATTTCTGTGACCGGTGCAGACTGGGGTCCCGGAAACTGTCAAACATGTCTAAGTTTTTCTTCGCCTGCCAACTATAAGCCAGCCCTAAATTTAGCATCCGTGTGCTATCAGTATGAGCATCACCGTTAAAGTCTCTCTCCTCACCAGTCACATCATTGACAATACTGATTGGACCTGCGTCTGTGTACCTAGACATTGTGGTCGTCGGGGCATGGCTTATGGCCAGGGCTGGGGGTGGTAGAGATGTCAGCGATGATGGTGAAGTTGATGGCAAGGTTGAGCTGGCTGTTGACCGTGGTCGGAAATTACTATTCAGTTTATACTTGTTAGGGTTCAGCAAGATTTTCAACTTCTGGTCAAATGTGGTTGTAAGGCTAGTAAGCAAGTCGGATCCATCTTCTGAATCGGTCGATTCCCAGGACAAGCGATTTTCATGCTTGTCGTAAAAGTCTATCATGGAATCCAAGGAACCGCGCCGCAGACTGTTGCCAAGGCCAAGACACAGATCACTTTCTTGTAGGGGGCTGCTTTCGCTGTCACAATATTTGCGTGAGTTCGGACTCGAGCACCATGGCTGGGCAGCGTCCAGTATCGCTTCCAGAGAATTCGAACGTTTATTGCTGTCCAATCCCGCCGGATGATATGTTCGTTTGTCCGACATTTTGCTATTCCCCACGCTAACAAAGTACTTGCCCCCAACGGCTTCGTTTGCTTTGTTGGACGAAGATGAAGGGGAAGGTGTCAGCCACCCTTTCCCTGATATTGGCTGCTGGAGAACAGAATCGATGCCATCAAACAGTGTGCTGCAAGGAGTGGAGGTCAAAGAGTAACCTGTGGTGTAGGAAGACAAGATCCGCGTTTTCGGATTCAAAAGATCCTCGATGCTGTGTTGCTCCTCCATTTCCATCTCTTCTTTCGTACGCAGATATTCCTGGTCAATTTTTCTGGACTCCATCCGTCTTTGCTCACTTTCTCGCTGACGCTGGGCGTCTAATTCCCGGAGTGCCCGTAAACTATCGAGGGTATCCTGACTCAGACTGTATGTGTGATTAAGACCATGGGAGATTTCGAGTTCATCACTCTTCTCGACAAGTGATTCGTTGGAATAATGACGCGACAAGTGATGGCGCATCCCTTTTAATACTGTTGTGGAACTTGGAAAGAAACCCCGAGTCCATCAGATCGTCATTACCGATAGAAGATGACGAAGCCGACGCTTTACGTTCATTCGTCACGTGGCTAGAATAGGAGATAGTGTCTAGTTGGCTCTGGGAACTGGTTGAGTGCAGATCCGTCAGACTAGCCTGAGTTTTGGCCTGATGCTTTGCAACTTCAGCATCAATATCTCGTTCTTCATATTGGGCACTTGGTGTCAATGGCGCATCTGGTTCATCGACATTCTTCTTATCACTGGATTGGAGTTTTTGATGAGCCGCAGCTATCATATCTTCCAGGATATCCCTTGGATTAATTTCTTCAGCTTCTT